CCAGTGAACGATATTTGCGGAGCAAAGTTGAGTAACTTGATCTAAGAGGGGTTCAGTAAGTTCATAAAGAACAAAAAAATCCAGGCTGACAATGTCAACTTTGATCATTTCAAGGATTTTGCAGGTTCTATTGTTTTATATGCACTAAATTTATTTGATTGTTTAGAAACAAGTACTAGGATAATAGACACAGGGGCATTTAGTAATATGTGTAGATATTACACTGATTCATTCACCCGCACAAATTATTAAACCTACACAAGTATGTTTACCTAATGCTTCTGTTAAGTTTGTTCATCACATAAGTGATGTACAACTGAATCCTAATCTTGTTTTAACAGACATTCTTCATATTCCTATCTTTAAATTTAACCTTTTGTATGTAAACAAATTATCTGTTTTAGCCTTAATCAAATTTGCTTTCTATTCTAACTTTTACATATTGCAGAACCTGAAGACTAAAAAAGTATTAGCAGTTGGAAAAGCGGTTGCAAAGTTATACATTTTAGATCACAAAGAATTTTATTCAGACACTATTAAGACCTACACTATGCCACCCGTACATGAAGTACAAAATGTTATTTTTTCCATTTTTGCTAATGTAAATACTGAGGCTTGTTATAAAAATAATACCTCAGTGAATTCCTTTTCTCTTTGGCATCACAAATTAGGTCATTCATCTTCTATTGTACTTCAACAACTACCTTTTATATTCGCTCAATTTTCTGATAATAAAATCTATAACACTTGTTCATTTTCTAAACAAAATCGATTACCTTTTACTCATAATATTATTCATTTTGTTATGTTATTCCACCTTGTTTCAGATATTTGGAGACCTTATAAACAATCTTCAACTATTGGTATTCATTACTTCTTGACAATTGTGAATGGCTATACAAGAGTTACTTGGACTTATCTCATGCATCATAAATCACAAATTGGTGGAATTTTAGATAATTTTTTTAAAATTGTAAAAACACAATTTAACATTTTGGTTCAACAAATCAGAACTGATAATGGTTTAGAATTTCTTAGTCAAAATTGTCAAACTTTATTTTATCATAATAAAATATTGCATCAGAAAAATTATGTTTATACCCTACAACAAAATAGAGTTGTGGAAAAAACACATAGACATTTACTTCAAGTAGCTAGAGCTCTCATATTTCATTCATCTTTACCAAGACATTTTTAAGGTGATTCAATACTTACTGCTACTTATCTTATTAATATATTACCAAGTCAAATTTTACACTGGAAATCACTCTATGAATTACTTTTTGGTCATGTCCCAAATTACACACACTTTAAAATGTTTTGGATGTTTGTGTTGTGCCACTAACACACGTCCACATAAAGATAAATTTGAAGCCAAATCTTTTAAATGTGTCTTCATTGGATACTCAATTGGACATAAAACATACAAACTTTATGATTTACATGCCAAACAAATCTTTATCTCTAGAAATGTTTTTTATGAAATAGAGTTTCCTTTTAGTTCTATGCCTTCTTCCATTGTTTCTGTTCCTTTACCATCTATTCCTCTTATCTTGGATCATGAGATTAATTTTCAAGATAATGCTCAATTTAGTAGTCATCAATCAGTACCTCATGTTCCATCTCCATTACACAAATCATCTCCTATATCTTTTTTACCTACTGAATTTGTCTATGTTAGACATTATATTCGAATAAGGTCAAAACCAGTTTGGTTGAATGATTGTGTCTAATGTTACACATTCTGCTTCTTTCCTTCTGCTAAATAGGTTCGGTCTTCTTTTTCTGCAATGTTACCTATACCTTATACTCCTTAATACTTTTCTATGTACTACTAATACTTGATTCTCATCTACATATGTTGACTTTTGGCTAATGTTTCATTGTAAAAGAACCTTTACTTAAATTAAGTGAAGAACAGTGCAGAATGGATTGAAGCTTTGAATCAAAAGTTATTAGCATTGGAAGAAAATGATTTTTGGGAATTAACAAAATTACTTGTTCATAAAAGACTAATTGGTTCTAAATAGGTGTACAAAGCGAAATTGAAGCCAGATAGAAGTGTTGATCGATATAAGTCAGGTTGGTGGCTAACAAATATAATAAGTTGGCTGAAATTGATTACATAAAC